AGCACGTTGCCTTCCTTGCATTAGGGGCTACCTGATACGTTGTTATTATGCCTCACCCGCAGTTCACCTCCACTTCTTTTAAATAGCTGTTATCACGTCCTGACGCCTGTGCGTGCTTCATAAGTGAAGTGACTCCTGTGAAGCACGGTACTTAGTTTCCGGCCTTAGTTGTTCCTACACGATTCCCATACATATAGACCAGGGGCATAGGTGGAATTTTTTTTTTCGAGGAAAAAGACCCCTCATTGATTTCGGGAAGCGGCAGGGGGCACCCCCTGAAATGGTCAATTTACGCTCTGTATGTCATGGGGGAAATTTGTCGAAGAAGGCGGGGGGGCACGGGCCTGGTGTGCTACCACTGGCTACGCCATCGCTATAGAGCTTTCATCACGTATCCCTAAGCGCCTTGGACCTGAATATATTGCAGAAACCTAACAGCCACCTTCAACATCAATAACGTATTGCTCTAAATATTAACTAGATTTTTCTTTCTGCTGCTGTATACCTACCAGCAGTGCCTCCTCAGCCATTGACACTTGCTATTCGTACTGTGCGTTCAGCCTTTGCAACATGGAAAAGCTTCAAGATTACGCTTGCCACACTCCTTGTATTTACTAGATTAGGTGGTCATCCTTCCGTGCTTGCAAGAAGTCCATGAAAGTTTTGTATAATGCAGAATGCCGATTTGACTGCAAGGGACGTCACTTAAATTTACGGCATCGATACGTTTTTTTTTCGCTTTCAGAGAACTGCGGATCGGCAGTACGTAACGCATCCATTGCAGAGATGCGTGCGTACGGCCGAAACAAGATGCTGCGTACGGAACGCAACGCTTACTACGTTACATTCTCGCGAGACCTCGAAGAAACTAGTGGCGTTTGACGCAGACAGCAACAGCGGACCTGATGCAAGGCGTGTGTATTTCACAATGAAAGGCGATGTTTTCATGCGTCACAAGGTAAATTCAAGTGGCGCGCTCCGGCATCCTGACGATTCAGTAGAAATTGCCGGACGTCTCATGAAAATCCTTAATAGTCATCGATATAGTGTGTGTGGGAATGCATCTCTTTTTGTCAGGCCTCTTGGCGAATGAACCCGTAAATAAAATGGCACCTTGGTACGTATTTTTATTCGTGGTGCAACATAACATGCCTTGGACGTTGTGTGAACTTTCACTCTTTAAATGGTCTTGAATGCCTGGAACGCGACCACTTTTTGCGGGGTACGCTAAGCCTCATCCGCAGTAGCGTTGGATAGAACGCTGGGGTCGATCTGGTGCGGCCATGCCCGATAAATGCCGATCGTATACATTGCGCACTCAAGTTCGAAACATAGAAGGTGAACGTGCGCATTCGCTGCCCCAGGAACGATGCTAAAGACCTACACGGCCGGACTTGTAAGCTGGTGGTCCTTACCCTGGCAGTCGTGTTTCGTGCAGATCACTTAGGCCACGTCATTACTGGGAGCGCGGTAGTGAGACCGAGCATACTTAATATAACATCGGTGGCGCTGGTAAGCATTAAAAACCCTCATATCTCGCATGCCATCTATCTATTTTAGTGAAACGCATCACGGTACGTTCAAATAAATGTGTTGTTGCACGCTTCACTTGCCGCGTACGCAACATAATTTTCAAGGCGTACGCAGCTTCTCCGTATGCCCAACTAAAGATGTCTATTGTGAATGTAGCAAAACGTTCACCAGATAGCTGTTATCACGAAACTTAAATGAAAGATGTGGTAGTCTCTGCATTAAATGTTTTCCTCAATATTGCTCTTCGTTTTTTTTTTCTTCATTCAAGACTGCAATAAACATGACAAGGGCTCCAACAACTATGTCTACTCTTATGGGACAACTGAACTGTCACGCATCTGTTTCGCATCATGTTAAGCTACTTATTTTTTTCACTAGAAGTTTGTGGCCAAATCACCTGTGTGTGCGCAAAACTGTGTCCATATACGCGCCAAAGTGAATATATATATATATATATATATATATATATATATATATATATATATATATATATATATATATATATATATATATATATTCCTTTTGATGTGCTGATAACAACAAACTAGCTGTCGATCTCAGCTCCTGAATAATCTCCTAGATAGCCTTCAGTTCATATGGAATGCGTCAAATATTACCGTAAAATGTAAGCTGGTAAGATTTACCGCATTGTGCGACACATCTGCCATAATTCTGGATTATTCAGGTCACGGCATCAGGCAAGAGTAATGTCTTTTTGCGTAAACTTGGTAACAGCAAGTGTAAATTTTGTTCAGCGTCACCCCTTATTGCGTTGGCGCGGATGGGACTGACAATCGTGAGAGATAAGTAGAAAACGGTTGCAACGGGGCTGCAAGTTTCGAAGCACTTGTATTTGTAACAGAGTTCCTGACGTGTGACCAGTAATAGCAACAAGAATACGATTGACTGGTGTGGTCGCCCAGAGGCTTCTACGCCCGTGCAACTGACTTGCGAAGACTTCAATCGGCCCGCTGTAGCACTGAGAGCAGCTGCGTCCTGGTGTACTTCGCTGCCTCTTCCATATAGTAGTCGACATACGACGCCTATGGTCTCCTAGAAATAACCGAAATCAGCTGTAATTGCAACGGAAAGACATTTATTTGCCCGTCCGCTTTGGAATCGTTTTACATTCAGTCGACTAAGCGCACGATGAAGAGGACAAAGGGCAATTTACCAGAGATATACAACAGCACGCTGCTCCACTTGACCCATAAACAGCGCATGTCCCAGCTAACATCTTCATTATAATCAAGGAACCAGTACGGGGCCTGAAACATCAATGCCTTTTTCGTTTTTATTATTTACATTGGCGAGTGTATGTTTATTGAAAAAGAAATTATTTCTGAGTTTCTAGATTGTCTAGATGCGGCGATCCTTGAAACTAAAAAAAAAAAGAAGATGAAGAAGCAGAAGTTCGCTAAAGCTAATATCCCCGAAGTTGAGGTATCAATACAGAAAAGACTACTTCGAAGGCTTCCTGCTTTGAAATTAGACGCACTAGTGCATCCCGTTATAACAAAAAAAAATCACAGAATAGCCACAAAGTGAATGATGATGAGTAGGCCGAAGTGTCCGTCTATGTGTTCATCCCATCCGTGCATCCGTCCATGCATTCGTCCGTCCGTGCGTCCATCCATGCTTCCGTGCGTCCAGTCGTCCATCTGTGTGTTTGTCCGTGCGTCTGTGCATCCGTCCGTCCGTCCGTGCGTCCATACGTCCATCCATACTTCCGTCCGTCTTGTGTTCATGCGTGCTTCCGTCCGTACGTTCATCCATGCTTCCGTTCGACCGTCCATGCTTGTGTCTGTTCATCCATCCGCCCGTCCTATTGTACACACTTTTATTGGACCAACGCTATTTAAGAAATGAGACGAAGAACGGTGATGAGACAGCGCCATATATTATACTGTTCGGGAGAGACTGTGAGTTACGCCTGGTGTCGGACAAGGTTAGAATACGAGCAGCTTCGCCCCTAACATGACTAATTATGAAATGGAAGCGCACAACGTAGAAGCAGACGGAAAGACAGGGACAAGCGCTTGTCCCTGTCTTTCCGTCTGCTTCTACGTTGTGCGCTTCCATTTCATAATTAGTCATGTATCACCAACTCGCCCAATCAACCATTTTGCCTAACATGACATATTGCAAACTGGGTGATTGATGAGTTTATATTGTCTGCCAAGTTTTGATAGTGACTACAACTGCTAGTATAAACGAGCGAACAGACCACAATTGCCAAGCCAACTGTGCATCAAGCAGCAACCTATTTCCGAGTCTCTTTGCACCGGGGCCAATCGCTTTACACCGACATCTTAGCACCGGCGCACCACCAGTGCAATCAATGATGGAGGCGACTAGGGTAATAAACACCAAACATGACAACACGCATTCTCAATGTATATTGTAATTGCATCTGTCTTGAGTTCGGTGCTCGCGTACCATGCATGGTTAACGATGACGATCGCTGACGATGACGACCATCGTCTTGCCTAGAGTCATGTAGGACAGGACAAATGGCGCCATTGTGGCAGTGCTAGAAATATTTCGCACATTGAAATCTGCATGTCTAGGTGCTGAATTGGGGTAATTATTGCGGGAAAGTCCTCTCGTATCAGCTTTGTCAAATTGTAGCCTTCTCAGTCAAAAGTCCAGGCTCGCGGAAAGGGTGTCAGCAGAAATTTTCTTCGAAGAGGGAGAGGAGCACCTGCTTGAAGTATATAGTCCTATTTCACTCCGTATGCCATGGCGAAATAAAATCTCAGGGGTTGGGAGCTTGGGCAGGGTATGCCATCCCCTGGCTGCGTCGATGGCTCACAGTCTTTTTGTTTGCAGAATAAGCTAACAGTACCACCTATAATAGCAATTTTTATAACAGCTTTGTGTGAAATGGTAATACCATTTTGAAACAGCTCCTGAAGCAGAGAAGTAGCGCAGGTGAGAGATTCAATTTTTTTTTTCACTTCCAAATTCTCTATTTTACTGAAAATGCCATTCATGCAATTAAGGTTACGCAGAAAATGCTTTTAAATCGACAATTTGACAACAAGTAGAGTCGTCGGGCAGTAAAGACGATGTCAAACTAAACATAACGATGTCAAATAAACAGGGGCGGATGATAAGCGTAAGACTTCACAGCTCCATGCGAAGGAAACAAAAAGACGACGACACGAGCGCCCACTCAGTTGTATTTTTGTTTCTTCTCTGCTCCGTGTTTTCAGTGGCAGTTATGTTTCATAAACTACATGCATTTTTTTTCGAACGTATTAACTTTTCTCGTGTCTATTTCGTCTACAATATGCAGATAGCTTTACACAGTGTTTTTTGGCATACTTTACATCAATAAACATTTGTTTTTCTACTTTTGCTAGCAGTTTCTTTCTTGCTTTATACTGAACCAAAGACTGCGGTTTGAAGGGCACCAGTCTATTTGCAACCGAATTTTTTCGCGTTAGACATGTCATTCCAAATTCCCTGCCCTCGTGGTTCATACTCAGGGGGTTCCTGCTTCTGCCTGGCTCCGGCGGCAGCTCTAGCGGAGGAGGCGCGGTGCTGAGGCCGGCATGCCCGTGATCAGCCCGGGCTCCGACGAGGCGGCTGCGCAGGCCCTGGCGCCGCCAAAGCTGTGCGCGGGCTGCGGCGCGCCCATCGCCGACCGCTTCTACCTGCTGGCCGTTGAGCGACAGTGGCACACCCGCTGCCTGCGCTGCTGCCACTGCAAGCAACAGCTAGACTCCGAGCTCACTTGCTTCGCCAGAGACGGGAACATCTACTGCAAGGACGACTACTACAGGTCGGTATACTCAGCTCTCATTGCAGCTTGACCCTCGCAGCTGCATGCGTTGGCAAGGATTTTCAATCCTTGTGTCAATTACACAACCCCGCTCCTCGAATTGCTGAAAATTGCATAGGCTACTTAGTGTGTCCAGATAAGAAGTTGATCGTAAACCCTATGAAGTTGTGTGGTTTTTGGACAGTGTTTCTTTTTCCCTCACATTATCATTTCCCATTTATATGCTTGATGTCTTGACATGTTTCTCAAGTTGCTTTTTTCTTCATTTCAGTATTTGCACAAGTATTTGTTTCCCTTAATTTTCGAATACAAGCTCAGTAATGCTTTGCTTTAGTCTAGGGCTGCGCTTTTTCGGGAAGACTGAGGTGTCGCGAATGAGAGCTCGTACTTGAAGACAGAGAAAAAAGGTTACCCGAAATTGCCTTCAAGAGATCTACGCGAATACCTACACATGCTTTCAACGCTCCAACGAACTCCACTTTTGAGTCCGAGCCCGTAGAACCAAATGCTGAAAGGTCTTAACACGCAATGATTGCCAACATTGCGCTGGCAGCTTTCTAAATTCCGATACGGGAAAACGCGCATGTTCGTGTCAGATTGGGAGAGAGCGAGAAAAAGATTATTCATAAGAGATGAACCAACATGAACTTTGTTGTTCTAGCCGTAGCGACTTTTCTCCTCTCTGGCTTTTGTTCTCCTCTATGGCTTTGGCCCCTGTCCACAACTATACAAAACTCAGGAGCGTTATCTGCCCTGCCACTTTCCTTTTCAGTCATAAATGTTCCTTGCACTCCTGCTTCACCCTTTGCCAGTTTGTACTTTTATGAATAAGTGCCCCAATACCACCCCTTTTTCTGCTGCCTTCTGTTCTATTACAATAGTCCCATGTGTAGTCTGGTTAGTATGTGGTTGATCCATGTTCCTAAAATGTGTTTCTACAAACTCATATACCATCAGCTTCTCCTCCCTTAGCTGTTCTTCTATCTCTCCCCACTTCAGCCTATTCCTGCCAACCTGCATGTTAAGTACCCTACGTCTGAATTGGCTCCGCCCTCTTGGCTACGTCTACTGCCCCGGACTCTACGTGTCTTAGATATTGGTGCCACTTTGGAATCATATCGGCCTATACCACCTGTAAAAGAGTCCCCCTCATTGCTTTCCTCGTTACTAGCTATCTTCGAGCCCGAAGGGCCCGCGTGCCCCCCCCCCCCCCAAAAAAAAAAAAGCTACTGCGCTTCCTGCAAATCGCCAACCCACCTCATGACCTAGCCTCCAATCGAAGTGAATTCTGTCTCGTTGAAAACCACCCCACCTATGCACCTCGCTGTGTATTTCCACTACCTAAAAGCCTTTCTCTCGACTCATATGCCATATGTCTTTGCGTTGACAACCGCTCTGTCAGGTTGCCGTCACGCACCGTTACCTCCGGTATCGTGCATATCACTACCTGCACCTGAGGGGAAACGGCGCGCATGCCATCGACCCATTTCGCTAGTGTGGTCGCTAGTCCTGCCGAGTGTTCATTTAAGACATCGTTTAAACCGCCCGCAATTATTACAAGGTTTCGTCCATCAGATTTAGTTGTGAGTTTTGCGCTCGCTTGCTTCATGACTGCATGCTTCAAGTATACGTCCTGGAAACGTCTCTACTGGAACTCTCTTGTCACCTTGTACCCTCTTTATGATTGCTTCTGCGCATCAATTTAAATTAGAGTCCCCAGCGATTTTCACGTGCTGGGACGTTCCAGCTAGGGTGTCCCGCACCTGGAGGTTACTTGTACTTGTGACGCCAGCTGCTTTGTCTCTTCTCACCACTACTTCGCTGAAGCTGGGTTTTGTGACCATTGAACCGGCTGAACCTGCTTTTCAGAACCTGTTTTCTCTTTCTTCTCCGCCGTTCTGGATGCCGCTGCCCTACCGTGCTCTCCATCGGCCGTTCCTTTGTTCCCCTTTGCTAGTGCTTCCTCGGTCGACCTGAGCCTTCTTCCCATAGCCATCGTTTTTTTCTCGCTATGTCGCCAACGCCGTCTCCAGTTTGGCAATTCTCAACAACAGTTCACACTGGGCAACCATCATTGTCCACATTTTTTTCCCACTACGTCACTTTGCCTACACTTCGCGTCTGCCTTTTTTACATTCATGTCCGCACTAGCCTCCGTTTTCAAACCAGCCCCACATCCTAAAAATTTTACAGCCTTTTTTCATGCCTTTTTGACAAAAATTGTACTTAAGAATTGTCCCACTCGATAATTACAAAACACAGCGTACGACAAACCCTGCCCTAAGCGAAAAAGTCTAAGCTCTACTACAAAAATTTGCGCGCTCGGTCTATGTGCACCTCCACCACAGGGTGACAGAAAACACACACACACACACGCACACACACACACACACACACACACACACGCACACACGCACACACACACACACACACACACACACACACACACACACACACACACACACACACACACACACGCAAACAAGTAAATACCTGGTGACTGACCCCAGAAAACGCCGTACAATGTAATAAGTGCTATAAAGGTTTTTCACTGCTGCCTTATTAATTATAAAAGCAAGCTCGAAACATGCTAAGCACTTATCTGCGCAGTCGATCGGGAGTGCTCGAAAAACACCTTCATTCACCGTTCCAGTCCAACAGTTTAGCGCCTTGAGTGGCGGCGCACCACAAAGTGAGCATTGTTAGGATCGCCCGACAGGCGACTAGAGCGGCCATAGAGTTTCCAAAATATACTCGAGAGAGAACTCTGGCGTTACTGTCGATTAGAGCTGCAATACATGACGTTTCAGTGAGCATGGGAGTTACGAGTACGACATGGATTTGCCTAGTCTTTGTACTTTACGTTCGTTCTGGCTTCGCTTGGTTTGAAGCTGCTTTGTCACAAAACGACAATCGCCAAATTTTCAGCAGTTACGCTTCACCACCTTGATATTTTAGGCTTACCACCTCAGATTGGGTCACGATGTAAAAAAAACTGTTCTTTCTTTCGAAACAAAACAAAAAACACAGCAATAAACAAAGCCACAAGTGCATTCGCCGCCCGCAAGTACGAAGACTAGGCAAATCCTTGTCATACCCATAGTTCGCTTGGTCGCTGAACGATCGCAGTGCCAAAATCTCCTCTTGTTAACTTTAGGAAAGTCCATGGAATCGGGGACCTTGAGTGGCGACTGGAGAAGTGTGCACTGGCAACACTGGTGTACACGCCGTCGCCGCCGGACAGGGCGCGAGCAAAAGAAGCTTGCGAGCAAGCTCCTAAAAAAGGCTGCCAAAAGGGGGCGATGGGCATACGACTTGGCTCACGAAATGGCAGCGACCACGCCAAACACAACTATACTGTGCCGCTATAAATTAGCGTGACTGTGATGAGCACCCAGTATGCTGACATGAAATTAACAACGCAATTAATAGCGCCAGAGTTGGGTTGCTTGTTGACAGAGGAATCCGTACATTAGAGTGACCTTCCGGGACATTAAAACTCGTTGAACATAATACTATGATGAATCCAAGCTTGCTCGCAGTCGTCGTTAGCAGTTGCAAGCATTTGGTTCTGAGAACGATCATTCAAAAGTTTGTCATCACGTAACGACGGCTGGGTTGCGCTCACGGTTGACGATGCATATCAAGGCAGCCACGCTTCGAGGCCTGAATGAAGGAGAAAAAAAAGAAAGTAATAATGAATGAAGCTAAAAACATAAACGTACCCTCGCAGCGCGTGGCGGATTGTTGTCCTTGTTGGCAAGAAAATACGTCAAACAATCTGGCTGTGAGCAGCTGTGAATGCATGCCATTGGGGACGCACAATTCGCAATGCTGCGTTGTCCGTCGAGTACGGGGATTACCTGACGCAGAAGCTTGGCTTCGCAGCCCGAGGCAGCTACTATGATGGGAAGTCACACGGCAACATTGACATCACATGCAGTGAATTGTCAATAATATACATAGTAAATCCTTTACTAATGAACCTTCTGACGAATAAAAAAACTGCGAACACGGTTTCGGTTGGTAAAATCAGGCCTCGAGATATATAGTGACCTAGTAGAGGCTTTTATTTATACATGTATTGTCTCCTTTTAAATTGCGCAATTTAGACAAGACTACTCAAGGGAATAATTATGGTGCCTTCGCAATATATTTTGCTTATATGATGCAGATTTTTGACATTCACTGCATTCCGATTTCATTTTCAAAAGCTGTGATCAGGTCTGTCATCACTAATAGAAGACTAGCTATCTTTTCTTAGTCAGTATAACAATAATTTATCGAAGCCATATAGTTGTATATTAAGCAATTAAAAAAGGTGTCAGCGCACAATAATGTACCCCTGTTCTATAGAACAGGGGTGCGGCCCCAAAAATTGGAATTGGGTTTGTCCCAATTATTCTTGTATTTGCCGCAAACAAAAGGGGCGAAGGTGTGCCCTCGCTTCACTGGATGTCATTTTCAACAACTGAAAGACCGCAAAAAGAAGTATACTCGGCTGCTCACCAAGTGTGCCACTGAAGTGGTCCACGATATACCCCTATCGTGGGGAAGGAGCTATGTTGGCCGGCGCTGCGTCAATGAACGAGAGCGGGAACGCGCCCTTACGGTAAAAAATAAGGACGGTGCGCATACAAGCACGCATGTCGCTTCATGTAGATGCACGCTACGCTTCACGCAGATTAGTATATTGGGTAAAAGCAATAGCAAGGTATAGCACGAGAAATTTCGGAGGCATTTTACACACAGACGTGGGGTATCGATGGCGTAGCAGAAACTTCACTCAACCTGTGCGAGTCTTAAGCACAGTATCTATAATGCATGTGTCCTATAGTGCGATCAAGTAAACGATGGCTCGAGCACGTTGCGCATGCGTTGACGAGAAGTGGGTTTATATGAGCCTGTTTCCTCAAGGCATAAACAGTTGCAAGTGAGCACCCGCCTTGTCTACGTGTTTTCTTCGTTTGCAGTGTAATCATGATTTTGGGGTGATATTA